ACTCAATGACTGGCTCTTTGACTGCCCCCCCTCCATCCTGAGGGAGGAGCAGCCTTGCTAGGCCACAGTGGAAGACATTGTAGCCAGTCCTGAAGATACCTGATAAGCTATGGTCAGATGAAAGGGGAGGAGGTCCTCCCCTATCAGTGGACTTGGAAAGGGGCACGGAGGAGATAAAGGAAGGAGGGTGGGATTGGGAGGAAATGAGGGAGGGGGCTATGGCTGGGCTACAAAATAAGTAACCTGTGACTAATATAAAAAAATAAAAATTATAAAATAAAAGAAACTAAAAAAATATATAAGAAAAGTACATTCTTTAGTTTGAGATCTGGGTGGCAAATTCCCTAGTGTGCATTCAACATTGCCTTTATTGTCTCTGTTTCCATTCACACAGCTAGATCTGTTCATAGCCCTCTGTTTCGGTTTTCTTGCAACAAATGCTTCAGCTATTTCAGTCTTTCCCACTATAAGGGAGGGTAGGAGAAGCCAAAAGTAGTCGATAGTTTTTAAACTGTTGGCCTTTGAATGTTTATTTTTAATGTGTTAATTATAGAGGCTGTGAACTTTGTTATCAAATAGGAAAAAAACATTTAAAAAGTCTAGAGAGAGAAAAAGCCTGAGGGTTTCTTAGGATAATGTGTTTCTGCTATTTCATCCTTTGCTTGAGACTTCTGCCTCACTAATGCTCTAGGGTTGAGGTGGCCTGCTGTGGACCCAACACACTGTGAAACACGTGACCCAATTTGGAATGGAGATGGGGTGGAGGGAGCACAGCAGCTCCTCCGGAGGGAGCTGAAGAGGTGCTGGGCAGCGTCCACCTGTCTTGTTTCCGACTCCTAGGAAGGTCACTCATGCAAGCTTACCGTGAACTGCCTTTATCCTCTGTCCTTCTCTTAGGAGTCGACGAAAAGGGTGGTGAAAATTGTTAGGTTTCTTCATCTCCTTCCTTTCAGCTCTTTTCATCCTCTCTAGTAGCAAGTGATGGTCACCAAAGAAACAAAGGGACATTCTGGGAATGTCTTCTGGCTTCTGCTGTTTGCTATAATCCAGGTCAATTGGGAACAGCTTGGGCTACCCCACTGGCTCTGTCTGCAGGGGCTGGAAGGGCTTAGCTATTTGCACTGTGTAGTCATGGCATTACAACAGAAGGTGGTGGGGTCTCGAAGAAGCCTTTTCCTTGGTGTCTGAAAAGGGGGTAGCCTGGCAGTTTGGAGGGGCCCATGAGATTCTAGAAGTAGGACTGCTTTTCCTCTGTGACATAGCTTGGAGCTATTCCTGGGTTCTGTGACTCCACTAAAAGCCTGTAATTCATGGAACTCATCACCCTCCCTTGGGAAAGAAACACCATACCTTCTCACTGTCCATAACAAACTGTTATAGACTCTCTGTATTTTTCATTTTGCACAACAAGGGTTTTAATAATTATGTGAGAATATTACATTTTTTTCTGGCAATGTCCTTTTACTTTATCCTGGAAATAAATATAAGATTTTGTTGTTGTCGTTGTTCTGTTTTGTAAACTATGGCCTCATCAACGATACAGCAAAGAGAGGTTTTATTATCTTTGTGGCTTTTGCAGTGATGATTCACCATCCATGAATGGTTTGGTTGCTATAGAAACATAACTATTAGAAAGTAGAGAACAAATGGCGGCCCAGAATGAAGACATAAATAAAGCAGGGGAAGAAATATAGTGAGGATGCTAATAAGATCTTTACATCCTCAATGGCCATATTAAGCAATAAAACAAAAGACATTCTATTTCTTTCCCCCCAGATTGATATACTATCACTTTTCATGTATTTTAAGTGGGAATAAAAGTTCATACCAGTTGGGCCCTACTGTTGTGTTAATATACGAAGGATCTGATTTCCCAAGACATTTTTATAAACATCCTGTCACTGGAGCCCTAGTGGCTCCCATCTGCAGCAAATGTGACCAGGAAACTTCTCAACCCAGGTTTCTGTCTTTTTGTTGTTTCTTTGTTTGTCTGTTTGTTTTTTTTCCTGGTACAGTGGGATGATTATGTGCTGAATTGGTGAAGGGAAAGTCAGGCCTCAGTTTTGCTTCCTACTACAAAATTAAAGATGTGCCAATTCATGGTACATTCAATAATGCATTCAATGGCAGATGTATTAGCATTTATTTGTATTCAATAATGACCTTACTAACACAGCAAGCCTTACCTAACACAAACCAATAAAGCTAGCCTTTAAAGCAGAAGTACAAACAGTGATGAATTGATTGTAATGGCTCTGTCCTGCTGATGGATTTGGCCTGTTTCTGTCCATGATGGGCATTGCACAGGAAGAGACCATATTTTCAAAAAACTGTATGTAAATATACTTACTTCAAGCCCTAGAGGCATTGTATGAAAACCTTAAGGCTCATGTATTATGACAAAGAATAACTGTTAAATCATGATCCTGCCCTTTTAAGAGAGTGGTCACTCTACAATACCAGATCTCACAGTCAAAATAAATGGGGCCTCCTTGTATCTCTCTCTCTCCATTGGTTGTTCAGTGCTAATTGGCCAACACTATAATTATCTTCAGTTTTAACAAAGGCATGGAAAGCTTAAGACACTTGCTCAGGGTCCAACAGTTAGAATGTAATGTTAGAGTGACAGGTCTCCAGAATGTAGAGTCATGCTTACAGTCAGTTTGCTGTATTCTGCAGCTGGTCTCTCCCAAGATTAGTTTACTTTAGCCTTAGTGAAGACACAAATGGAAATCTAGATATTTTTTTAATTCAAAATTAATTCTTTCATTTTCTTAATTTCAAATTATCATTAATTTTCTTTATTAAAGATGAAAAATCTTGATTTTGAACACGTTTTACTTTTAATCATGTGTATTTTTGTATATGTGTGTGTGTGTCCCACTTTTCTATCAGATACCCACAGAGGTCAGAAGACGGCATAAGATCCCCTAGAACTGGAGTTACAGATGGCTTTGAGACACCTGACAGGAGTGCTGGGAATGGAACTTGGGTCCTCTTGCAAGAGGAGAACATATCCTTAGCCACTGACCTATCTCTCTCTCTCCCTATCTATATGGTAAAGATTCAAAAAATCAAAAATTATGTATATACCACCAGGATATCAACGATGCTGGCCATGCCTTTTATTGTGGTTTCCACTGTAAGGAAGCCTCCAAGTTCCCACCACTTGAAGAAACTGCTTCCGATAGTGGTTGGTAGCTACTGTGCCTAGTATTAGTGGTAACAATGGACTTATGAGAAATCTTCTAGGGATAAGAACTCTGTGGCATACAAACCACAGAGCCAAAAGACCCAACAACCACTCCACTCCCTCTCTTGTCAGCACCAGCCTAAGAATCTCTGGGTTTGACATTACTGAAGTCTCTTACAGGTGTCCCTCCACTTCATTCCCACGGTAGACACAGGACTAGATCCTGTCATCTTTAGGTTTCTTTATAGGAATCACAATCACAGCCAACAAAAAGATACAGGGCATGAAATACACTATGATTAGATCTGTCTATAAATAAGGGCATTTTCTCCCCTTAAATTTGATTAAGATGAAAGATGTCCAGCTTCTTTAACAGGAAATAAAACATGAGGGGTAACCTGTGTTCCTTCCTTGTAGAAGCACCCAGCCATTCTTTTTTTCTATAGAAATCATGCTATCTCAAACCAATAGGCAACCACACCTTCCTAGCCTTAACTTATCTACATATGCTCAGTAATCTAGTCCAGAAAATATTTTCAAGAATGAGAATTGAAGTCTATAGACTTTAGGATGCTTTTGTGAATTTTAGCATCCTTGTGATTTTCTTAATTCTGTAGTTCTTATGTGGACATAGCACCAAACTACCTTCTAAATACATACCTCTCTATACCCATATTCCAGTGTAGCTCTCAGTCCTCTCAGAGAAGCATCTTTATGTGGTAGATGGCAGCTACTACAGAAACTGCTTCAAAGCAGAAAAGAAGTTTCTGGACATCTATATATCTGCTCCTCAATACATGAAGACAGATTCTAGGAGCTAGAGGCGGTGGGACAGTATTTGCTCAACCTGATAGGCCATTGTGCACATGAACTCATAGCAGTTATGGCTTCTGGCCCTAGGCCCACACAAGATCAAGCCAGTCCACCTTCCTATGAGGACGTGAGAGGGGCCCAGGAGCCTCCACTCCTAGCTGAGGAGCAACTGACTGTTGATGTCTGTTACAGAAGAGGCATCAGTACCCTTGCACAGGCCCTGGTAGGCTAACCATGTTCCAGTGTCTGCTGCATGCATATATGGGCAGCATTGCATGATGGGAGAGGAACATGGAAGAGTCTCAAGTATTTAGAAAGGGAGGTACAAGATGTTCCAATGACTGAAATGCAATGTAGGCATGTAAAAGAATAAATGAAAGCATTATATTAAAAACAAGAAATACATGCAACAGAAGGGATTTCTCAGTGGGATGGCTTAATGACAACAGTGGAGGAAACTTGGGGAATAAGAACTTCAAAAAGCGTGCTCAAACTTACTGTTTTGAAAGAAGGTCAAGAAATAGAATATGAAATTTTTTATGTTAGACAAATGAGCAAGACCCATGCTTATTAAAAGAGAGGTAGAGTAAGAAGATTCGAAGAACAAATGTTTATGCCTTAAGCCCCTCATGGTTGAAAAGCATCTCACAAGACATTAAAAGAGAATTAAAAAAAAAAAAAAGTTATCCTGGCGTGGTGGCACACACCTTTAATCCCAGCACTCAGAGAGGCAGTAGTTGGATCTCTGTGAGTTCGAGGTCAGCTTGGTCTACAAATTAAGTCCAGGACAGCCACGCCTACAAGGAGAAACCTTGTCTCAAAAAACCAAAAGAAAAAAAGAAAAAGAATTACTATACAGATTATGGGTTTTAGTCATGGTTCTTCGCCCAGAGCTACCGATTACATAGCATCTTTCTAATTACCTTTGCTCTCAGGGTACTCTTCTGCATTTTCTGGAGACCAAGTGGATCGCCCGGTTAGCACTTTCACTTACATGAACTTTTGAAGTCTTTCTTTTTCAGTCTCCTCCTCATCATGGTTCCTCGTGGGCTAGTGGAGTAGAGGCTTCGAGGTAAGGTCCCCATGTTCAGGGAGCTCAGGCTGTACGCGCTCATGGAGGTAGGAGAGGACGAGGACACCATAGCTGCTGGAAGAGAGTGAAGACTTGGTACAGAACAGTCCTAGCTGGGGCCTGAGCCTGCCACCCTTGCCAACCAGCCATGACCCAAAGAGACATATGACAGACAGCCACAGTTAGTCAGCATCCCAAACCCGGACAGAGGCCAGGACCTGGAGCCATTGCTTTATAGTCTCAGAGTCACAGAGTTTGAAAGTTTTGAGGATCGGGCTCCTCCATGGCACTTGCGTACCCACAGACTAGGAATTTTGCTTTAGAGGAAAACAAACAAAGATTAAAACAAAATGACTCCATTAAAAACTTAAGATATCGGGTACACAATGTCATTTTTGGAGTATTTTCCTGACATAGATGTCGTGATTCACATACACAGAGCTCTGAGACCGCCATACTCCAGTGTTCCGAGCCGTTCCCTGAGCAGCATCTAAAGCCTCCTGAACATCTACAGGTTTTTTGTCCTTATTGTTTCTGTGTTGCTGGGGATTGTGCTCAGGGCCTCATACATGCAGGGTAAGTCATCTGTCATTAAGAGACATCCTCATCCATCCCTTCCATCCTTTTATACTGACAAACACTGCTTGGCAGAAAAGAAGACAGATGCCAGAAACAACGAGGTGTTAGTACAAAGAAAGCGACAGCGACAACGGAAACCAGGCAACACCCATGGAGCCAGAGATGTGGTGGGTTAGGGGAGGAAGGGGGAGAAGAAAAGAATCAAATGAAAGACCAGGAGGAGAAAGCGTGGAACATTACGAGGGCTGTTTGGAGGACGCGCTTTCGGGAAGGTCAGAGCTGGCAGCGCTCTGCCATGGTCTGGGTGATGCGTGTTATGGTGATGGTTGGTGTGAAGGCTGCACTGGTTGCTGGCCCACGGATCCCAGGGAAGTTGTCTGTCGCTCCTCTGAATTTTCACTGGCCATATGAGGTGATGATGAGCAATAAGGAAAACAAAGAACCAAAAACAAAACAAAACAAAAAAACAAAAAAGAAAAGGAAAAAAAAGAGGAAAAAGTAACTGAATTGCACAAATTAAAGAAAAAGAAAAAGGAAAATCATTAACAAAAATGAAAGCTGCTTGCAGAGAGGGAAAAAAAAATCTACTTGGCTTGGCCCTTTTCTAAGCGGTCAGCAAAAGAGATGATTAACAGCAGCCATGGAGACTTTTCATCTTCCTGAGAATAATGCGTGTCTTTCCCCAGCCCATCTTTTCTCCCTTTAAGATGACTATTGAATCAATTTCTAATCTCCCCCTGTGCTTCACTGTGGACATTAAAAAACATTTTTTTTTTAAAAAAACTTAAAAGTCATCCCCATCAAGATCTACGGCACACGATCAGTAATTAAAGCTTTGCAAATCTTAGTCAGTTAGGAACCCTTCTTCAGAGAAAAAGAGAAGGAACACTAAATCACGCAGGCTTGTGATGTGTGTGCCGGAAGACTCACACTGCACAATTTACTGCCCTGCCATCTTAATTACACTGCTGTTCCTCATGTGCCCTTGATCTCCCTCAACAGTAAACCGTTGTAGTCATCTGCCCCCATCAGAATCTTTTCTCTTCCTTGACTAATAAGGAGAGAAGTCTCAATATAGTTTATGAATTTTTTTTAAAAAAGTTTTTTTTTGTATGAGAAACATTTGGTTTAAAAGCACTTTACGTGGTTATATCTCATTAATGTGGCATAAAATTGTAATGAGTTTAACTTCAAAGTTTTGGCGTCCCGTTTATTTTTGTAAAAAAAAATAAGATGTTTATCATATTCCCATTCTAGATTTTCTGGCCTTAAAATTTGATTTTTGGGGATGAGAATGTGGCACAATTGGTGGAGTGTTTGCTTAGTTTAAAGAAACCCTGAGGTTGGTACTTACTCAGTGTGCATAAACCAGGCATGGCGGCACATGCTTAGAATCCCAGCACTCAAGAGGTGGAGGCAGGAGAAAAGTTTAAGGTCATCACAGGATACAGAGCAAACATTAGGGCCTGCACTATATGAGACCCTAACTTTTTTATTTTCTTTTTTATTTTTGAACTTTATTATTAAAATGGTGCAAACGAAAATGTCCACACCCTGAAATTGAATCAGACCGAAAGACTTTGTCTTCAAAACAAGGAAACATTAAATTTCTATCTGGCATTCTGGAAAATGAGTAGTAGTATATCCTTGTGACTACATCTGATAGGGGCATTTTTATGGGATGATCTTGGAAGAGTTGAAAACAATCACTAACTTGGATTTGTTTTTATAATTGCACGTCTGAGAATCTGAATGAGTTTCAGTGGTTTCTCACACAACGGTGTTGGAATCTTGGCGTGCTTGCAAAGGAGTGTTCTTTAGCTAAGAGCTTGGGATAGCATCCCTAGCCATCCTCATCCTCTCTGGAGGGTGTCACAGCACCACCCTGGCCTGAGGCTGACCTGGGCTTCACAGACTTGCCTTGGCCTTTCCCCTTCTCTTTGACCTTGCCAGCTACGCAGCCTTTCAGCTGCACTTTCCTCACAGCCAATGGATCATGAAAGCATCTTTTCCTGCTGTGGGAATTATGCACATACAGTGTTCAGCATGGTGCTGATCCACAGAACACAAGCAAGTGAGCTATGAGGAACAGCACTGGTCCTCCCTACTGTTCCATCTACCTGCTGCCAACAACAAAATGCCCTTAGAGGAAATAGACATGAGCTCTGTCAACAAACTTCACTCCCTTGACACTTAGGTTTTAGAAGATTTGTTAAGAAAGCAACCGTTTTCACAGCTTCATCTGGAACTGGTCCTATTGTGCAGAGGTAGCTGGTTAGCGTTTCCTGTGTCTATGGACTCCCTCAAGTCCAGCCGCCATCCCCTCCTAGACCACTGCACTATGCCATGCTTGTTCTTCTGATTCACATTCTGCACATTGGCTTTCTAGTACCCCAAGCACATCTAGGGTGAATTTCAAAATGTATGTGTTCAGTCATGTCACTCCTGTGTCCCCGGCTTCTGTGGGAAGGGGAATCAGACAGTCTCTCTTCTCTAGTTGGTTTCTGGATCATTTACCACACTGGTCTTATGCCTCTTAGAACATGTCATCGTCGATGGCTTCTGCACTCACTTGACTTCCCCCTCTGTTTGTATGGCTGGCTCATTCTCATCATTTAGGCCTTAGCTCTAGTGCTATCTCTACAGAGGATCGACCACTACCTTTCTGGTTGAAGTAGCTGCCAATGCCATGTTATCTCATTAACTGTTTTGTACCCTACATATCTCTATGACTGTCTGAAATGGCCTTACTAGACAATGCGTGTGAATAATCTCTTTATACTAGAATGCACATTCTCTAAGAATAGAGATCTACTTGTCTTGCTTCCTTGAGACCCGAATGGTACCAGGGGGATAATGGTTGATGGTGCTTGGCCATAGCTTTGTCATTGAGATAAAGGAGTATTTTAGGCAAGACATTAGTGGATTTTTTTTTCATCATCCTTGTTTTACTTTGTTTTGTACATATGCACCTGTAGCAAGATGCAGTTAGTGCTGGGTCTGGCGAACCTACAGTTACAGCCACTCCATTGTCCTCTTAACAAAGTATTGTCATGTTCCTAATGAAGCCAGGCTAGAGTGAATGGGCCTCAGCTTACTTTGAAAACTACTGAACATTTATTAGACCCGTCAAGACAAATTAATGAACCCATAAGGAAAATAATGCTGACCACCTATTGTGAGTTTACCCCATGACAGTTGTTGGAGGCAGGTGAAAAGGAGGTCAGAAACTGCACTGGGGTCATAACCTGTAGCTGTTATCAGGGTCTAAGTCTTTAAATACACACAGTGCTACAGATGGTGCAGAAAGTTCGATTCATGATTGATGAGGGCCTTTTGCAAAAGGTCTTTGAAAACTAATATAGGACGGAGAGCACAGTTAACGCCCTTTTTGAATGTATACTCCAAATCTCTTATGTTTTAGAGTGGGATACCCGATACTGATATATTAAAGGAGTATCCCAGGAGAGCAATAGCAAGATGCTACACTTTGGGCTTGCCCTTGCATTCTGCAAAGGAAGCTCACGGGCGCCCTCTTACTTAGCTGTGCAGTAACAGCAGCACGCTTTCACGGAGTTCCTCCTGAATCCCAGATGCTGTGCTACCTACTGGCCTTTTTGCGTGGAGTGTCTCAGACGCTACTGCTTAAGGTGGTCGGATGAGGTGGGCATTACTATACGCCAGACCTTACAGATGAAGAACTTGGGGTACAGAAAATTCGGGTAGCTTCCTTAAAGTTCCAAAGTGCCAGAATGAATCTCTTAAAGTCTGCTGTAGAGCGCCGCCTACAGCCACCTTCAGGCACTGCTCCTTCCTTATAGAGGTTCGGAAAGCCTTTGCTCCAGATGAGAAAACAAGGTGAAGCTATAATGCTGACTGAGCTGCGGCATTGCTGCTACGGTCTCAGACACTTACGACATGGAAGGCACTGTCTTTTATTTTCCCGATTGTGTCCTCTTGCCCTGCCAGGATGTCAGAGAATGAGTGACAGCTAGTCTGCTGGTCATCTCTTGGAAATCACAGAATGGAATATTCTTCTGCCTTGAACCAACTAAGAGCTGGTGACTCTGGCCACATTGACTTTCTTAGAGCTGCTTTTCCTTCAGTCAAGTTTGACTCCCAAGAGTCTGCCTTGGGACAATTGCAACTCCAATGGAAACTAATATTTTTCTTTTCATTGTGGCGCTGGGGACCCAACTCAAGGCCTTGCGCACGCTTTGGTGAGCGTGCTTCCTCTAAGTCACACATCTCTCCCCGAAAAGGCCACCATTGCCAGTGTTGTGACTGCTGTTGTTTACCAAGGAAAGGCATAGTGCAGCCCTCATCACCAGTTGGCTTGGCCTTTTCCACCCTGCTCTCGAGTCACTGTGGTGAGCGCCTTGTCGCTAACCGCGTTTGGAAGATGTTCCTTCTTCATATTTTCATGAGAGGAGAGACAGTGCCCAGGCACTGCCGACTGGAAGAAGCAATCGGAATTTATATTTTGGAAGAATGATGAAAATATGTCAAACTCTGCTAACACAAAAATAGAAGCCTGAGAACTGCCAAGCAAGCCCACATTCTCTTTTTAATCATTTTCCCTCAGGACTAAGATATAATTATGCTTAAGTGCCACTACTTATTTCTTTTAGAAAGTCTGCTTTTAATGTAAAACATAGGGTTGACGCTAATATGCTAAATAAAGAAGACCGTCAGCCCTAGACTGTCAGCCTCCTACCTTACAAATATAAGTGACGTCAGCCCTCCCAGGAAAAGAAAAACAATGTGTTCTCGCTTCATACAGTTCAGCATATAAATTCATCTTTTCAAATTATCTTGGCAGGTAAAAATATTTAATATTTCATGAGTTGGGAACTATTTGAACTACTTAGGATTTGCATATAGAACAAATAAAGTAAAATAATGAGGCTGTTAAAAATAAAAACAGTAACATTCTGAAAGGGTTTATTCACATTTCTGACTTACTGATTCCAGACATGAAGCGCATCTTCTCAAAAGAGCACAGCCCACAGTCCTAAGCCTTCTGTGTCTCACGTCTGATGATATCTTCATATACATTGAGAAGATGTGCACACACTTTCAGACTCCTCCTGCCTCAGCCAGGGCGGGAAGGACCTGAGGGGGTTGGTTGAGACCCGTGTGCCTCCCCAGTAGCCTGGGCATCCTGGGGCTCTGTGGTGCCTCCTCTCAACTGTGCTGATTTCCAACTCTAACCTGCCGTGTGGCATCATGTCCCCACTCCAATGTGTCAAATTAAAATCTGATAAGGGCGACGCTGTACTAGAGATTATCATTAGCTCCGGGGCCATCTAAGCGCCATTTAATTAAAAAAGGTTGCATCCAGCTGACTCATTCGGTATGAAAATCATCTCGTCCCTCTTTGGTTCCCCCCCTGTGGAGAAGTGCAGTGCTTTTTAGAAGGTGAGGAACACAATCTAAACGACCTTCCCACCAGCAATATTCCAATTCTAGAAAGCCTGGGCCGTTGCTAATTGGAGAGGAGCACTTGCCTCTCTCTCAGTCCAACCTGGCAACAGTAGGGGAGGCCTCCTGCTTCCAAGACTGGGAAGGGGGTAGAAGCAGGTTTCCTAAGAATCAGGTGGGAAAAGAAACCAGAACAAAGACTGCACCAGATACTCAGAGTTCCCTGGATTCATGGTTCAAATTCTTGTGCTTGTAGCAGGTTTTGTTGAAGATGCCCACGTGGATGGTTTTATACATTGAGAAAACAACCTGTGCACCGCCAGACACTGAGATGCAGATTTCCTCAGTTGACTCTATTTACTGTAATGAGTCAGCCATTCTCATTCTTCCTGGCATGAGGTTTGGGCAGGAAGTGTGTTCTTGATTCTAGAAGGGGGTGGGCATAAATATTCTGGCAAATAGACAAAAACATTGAAACCAACCTTTCACGTTATAGTCTGTCCCCTATGAATAGTTAATGGATCTGCTATTAATGTGAACTTGTTTTATTTTATTTTGGGATGGTAGAACCATTTCATTCAGAGACTTTGATGATGACGGGAAAGAGCTAAAAAGGTTAATTCTATCTGAAGTCCTTGGCAAGGTAGATCTTCCTGGCTCCTTCACTGCAAAGCATGTTTTTGGTTTTATGTTGTGTGTGTGTGTGTGTGTGTGTGTGTGTGTAAGAGATAGAGAGAGTTTTCATTTATAGAAATTCAAAATTCATTGTGTCCATTATGAAGTCAAATCATTTTCCTTCTCACAATACTCAATTTATAGCACAGTTCAAACAAACACATCAAATAGTTCCAGTCTAAAATTTTGATTTCAGGATTTCTTTCTTCTGTTTTGGGTCTTCCCATAACTATACATGCTTGTAAAAACAGGACTCTGAAGATGAAAAAGGGTAAAGAAGGGTAAGCTGGTGATAGCATAAAGGATCCTGTCTTCCTAACTCTCTGGGGGAAGAAAGCGGAAAGAGCGAGGTACAGACAAGGAGCAGGAAGGCGCTTCTCACCGTGGTCAGGGCCCTTGAGGGCCAGGCGGGTCTGATGGTGGGGGAGGATCTCCAGCTTGACCTGGTCAGTGGTGTTGGCCAGGAACTGGGTGGCTTCGGCCAGCGTGCAGTACTCCATGCTCGTGCCGTCGATAGAGAGGATGTGGTCCCCCACGTGCAGGGCCCCGCACCTACGGAGAGGAGAAACAGCGTCACCAGGGACCTTTCTTTCCAGAAGGCGACTTCCATCTTCCTCAGAGCTAGAGTCTTATGCAATTATCACTTACTTAAAAAAACTGAATGTTCATGGAAAATACCTTAGGCATGTTGGGTCTGTATCGCGATGGGAAACCTTGTGAAGAATGCAGAAGAATGTGAAGACATGATTTTTCTTATTTTTCTTGCCCTTAAATATATTTGGCCCTTAGACATCTTGGGACAGGGGTACAAAATATTAAGGAGGGAGAAGAGGACAAGGGGGGCATGAGGAAGAGAACTTTTTTCCTCCACAATTTTGTTCTTTGACTTTTTTCCTCTTAAGCTCTTCTATTGGCAACTGTGGGACAATAATGGCCCAGGGTCATGGGGCAGCACACAATTATGAGCTGTCTGTCACTCAGACTCTTAAGATGTGACTTGTTCAACAGGCTAAGGCTCTTATGTTTGATGATGAAGGAGAGCGTTAGTTACTGCCATCTCAGAATCATTCGATGGAGGCTTCCAGTTTAACAGTCCCTTATTATGGAGCTCTGTTTTGTTATTCTGAAGACAAACATTCACTAGCACAGAATAGAAATCATGTAGAAGTCAACAGTAATCAAACCAGGTTTACATGGGGAGTAGGAGGGAAGTCAGGGGTAGGGGTCTGGCTGCTCCACCTTGCTGAACTGAAGACATTGGCTGGCTACTGGATAAAATGAGAAGAGCAGCCAGCACCCAGTATACCAGTCAAATGGATAGCTCCTTAAACTGGTTACCCATGGCAGAGTGGGGAAAACCCAAACGAGACAGGCAGACAATTAAAGTGCCCAGCATCCCAGAGCTGGAGAACATCTCTGCATCAAGGCTGCCCCTGTGAATGATTCCGTGGGTGGGGCCACACAAGGGAACTCTAGACCACCCACTACTTGGGTTGCTACGGGTTACTGTGACACTGGATCAAGGCAGCCCTGGGCAAAGGGAGGAAGAGGAGGCGGAGGAGGAGGAGGAGGCGGCTGAAAACATCCAGAGTGGAAGAGCTGAGGTCTATCTAAAGATTTCCATAGTGACAATCTACTTATCAAGGCAAAAACATTTCAAGGCACCTTTCCATCCGGAAATAGTATTCTGAGCTGATTCATACGGGGTGCTTTGGGTATGGGGAGTGGGGGTTTTCTTACTAGGAGCTGTAGAAACAATTTATTATGTAGAAAAGCAGTCTTTCGTCTCTTCTACATTTACATTAAAATGTAAAATATGAATCAGAAAAAAATGAATTTCATTTTTATCATGACACTGTAGTGGAGCTCAAGAGAACCTTGACTGAAGGTTTTGAGAAACCATTAAAATTAACAAACTATGTCAGTGTCAGGTTTGTCTTTAAAATTCATATTATTTTATGAATATTATATGATCTACTTTTCCAAAAATAAGTAATATTTTCTGATACCAGGATTTAATTGTTAATGATGCAGAAAAACCCATGACCTCTCTGAATGGGACTTAATAAACCGAGACCCAGTAAGTGTGTTTGTGTGTGTGTGTGTTTCTATTGATAAAGGCCACACTAAATGTCTGGATGAAGTGACGTTTCATCAGGAAGTGGCTGATCAGATAGACACACTGCTACGTTTCAAACAATCAATTGTTTCCTTATGTGAATTTTGTAGAAAATGGCAACAGGGCTATTTTTTTAAAGTTTGTTTATATAACGTATGTAACTGTACATATTATACAAGTGTGTGCACGACACTTTAAAATGTTATTTTTATTTTATGTGCACTAATGCCCTGCATACATGTATGTCTTTCTGAGGATGTTGAATCCTGGAATTACAGACAGTTGTGAGTGTGGGTGCTAGGAATTGAACCCAGGTCCTCTGGAAGAGCAGTCAGCATTCTTAACCACTGCTCCATCTCTCCAGCCCCATGTAAGACATTTTTTTTTTTTTTTTACGCACAAACACAGTGCTAATAAAGAGATGCTTGCTGCGATACTCGCCTGTCTGCGATGCTTGCAGATTTGATTTTGTCTATGACGATGACCTGTTTGTTACAGCACACGGAGGTAGTTAGGGCAACACCAAGGCTGGCACCAGGAGTTTTGGCAACTTCAACTAGTAGTGGTCCGGATGCTGTTGCCACAGAATCTGTTGAAGAATGCATTTTGGGGAAACAAAACAAGTAAAAAAAAAAAAAAGATAAAGAACGTTTAATCTGACGCTAGTTTGATAATTCACGTATTTTCCTATGTTACATCCTCACAGCCTGAGGGCACATTCCCCACCCAGCTGTGATTATACGTGCACATGCCAGTCCACAAAATTGGATTTCAATCTTTATGCCAGTTAGGATAACATCTCATAGATCATTTTGCTCTCTACACTGCTTGGAACAGTACCTGGAATATTTTAGATTTTCCTTAAAATCAATTAATTCAATACATAACTAGCATTTACTCCATATGTATATATGTGTACACATTGATTCATGGGGGGTAGATGGAGAAAGAATAAATGGAGGAAAGAGAAGAGGGAAAGTGGGAGTTACAGATAGATATGTACATACACACACATATATACATAGATATATAGATACATAGGTAATAGAGGTAGATGATATCTCTAAATTATCAAATTGTAGGCAAAAGAGGTATCATTTGGTTAGGGTGGTCTCCTTCTCAGGAATGATTTCGTGCTTGCTTTATTTTGGGCTTAAAACACTACTTCAACTCCTGCTCATCTCTGGAAAATTGGTATAAACATCAATTTTGGGTAGGTGTTTCCAACTCTAGATCTGGTATGGTACTTTTCACATGTGCTCCAACAGCACACACTATTCCTCCTGCTGTCAGCAACACCTCCCTGACTGTGGTGACTGCATGCCTCTCTCTGTTCACTGCATAATCTAACCTTATTCTGAAGGCAGATTCTGGGTCTTGTCAATCACCATGTTCTCAATGCCCATCATGGTGATTAGTACCATGATGTATGGGGCTAGAAGGTGTTTAATTAATAAACAAGTAAAATATATTTTGATGCCATCCTTTACCTCCAGCACTCAGGAGGCAGAGGCAAGTGGATCTCTGAGTTCAAGGACAGCCTGGTCTATATAGTGAGTTCCGGGCCATCCGGGGATCTATAGTGAAATATATCCAACCACCCTCCACCATACTACTTTAAAGCACAGAAGGGGCTGCTGTCACATTGGAAAGAGCCCTAGAAATTGAATTTAAAATGTGGATATTTAATGATAATTTTTACAATATTTGGATTACGGGACCTTACACAAGTTACTAAAACTCCCTGACAATATAGCTGGCATTTGCTATTTTGTGGGTTCCTTTTTCTCACTCCCACCCTTCTCCATCCTATTAATCCTCTAATATTATATAGGAGAGAAAAAGGAACAGAGGGCAAAGGGGCCGAAGTTATTGTTAGACAACTTCCTGCTGATTACATGCATCAAGTTCCTTGGGGCAAGCTTGACATTCTCTGCCAGGATATCTGATTTCTTCTCATTTCTTTGTGCATGACAACTTGACAAACAGCAACCAACAGCATCCAACCACCAACCAACCAACAGTAGCAACCAGCAACATCCAACTCCCAAACATCCAACAATAGCCACTCAGCCTGTCAGAGCCCTATCTCCCAGAATCCCAGATGCCACACACTCATGGAAACTAGCTGCAGCTGGCAAAAGCCTTCCCCTGTTAGGGCACAAGGCAAATCATAGTCACCTGCTGTGAAACAGCCTCTTATGCCCACATCTGGGGTTAAAACAAGAACATATTCCTATACTATTTGTTTTGGTTTTTTTTTTTTTTTTTTCAAAGAAACCAAAACTACAAAATTCTCACTATGTGAAAGCTTTTCTAGAAATTGTACTTTTCTACAGTGTTTATTATGATCAAATAAGTGCATATAGATTATTATTATTGTTAATATTTCACGGCCTCAAACATTTGGGAGGCACTTACTGGTTGAAGTTGTAGTTCTCACTTAATCTGGATAGCCATTCTGAGCTCTTTTCTAGCAGGGCCCTTTGCTCTCTGCCTGACTTCACCTGGAGAGTGTCTCTAGACACAGATACCTCTAACCCATTTGATATATGTCCTCTGACACAGCTCCGTGGCTAGCTCTCCCCTCCCTGGGCCTATATGATAATTAGGTGCTGTGTTTCCATTTATATGATAGGAGCGTGCTATAGAATGCAAATCCTTGAAGTGCCTAGTTCCAACTCATTTTTTACACCTTTTCTTGGAGCCCCCAACCACTCCCCAAGGGGTACATAGCCTTTGTTTTATGGAATTAAAGTTGAATTAGCCATCAGCTGGTTCCCAGGTGTGTGATCCCTGTAGGGTGCTTGCTGGCCATTTCAGGCAAGCTTCTCATCTCCTGCCCCTCCTGACTTCCTGGGCTGCTGGGAGACAGCCCACAGGCAGGAGGAGAACCAACACCTCATCATATTTGCAGGGTTGCATGTTGGTCAATATCTTTGTCTGGCTTTGTGCTGCCCTGAAGTTTGAGTTATTTGTCAATCAGTCCGTAGCTCTGTAAGCACCTCTTTATTACCACGACGTGACTCAGAAACTGTGAGCTGGAAGATCTGTGTGTCTGTAGCTGAAGCACAGGTATTAGGCGCTGACTTGTAAAAGTGGAAGGTTTGTGTGTGACAGCTGTCCTCAGCGGGCGATAAAATAAGGTATCTCGTAAATCAGGTAAAGATCCGTGCCGACGGCATACAGATCCCAATTTTTAAGGCTTCTTAGTTTTCTTTCATGTTGGTGTGGCAAAATACTTTGACAAAATCAACTTACGGGATGAAGGGCTTACTTGAGCTCACAGTTTAAGGTCAAACCACCAGGTGTTTGAAGCAGCTGGTCACATTACATTCATAGCAGTAGAGAACAAAGACTGCACATTGCTGCTAATCTCCCTTTCTCAAACAAATCACAGCCAGGGGATGGTGTCACCCACAGTGGACAGTAGGCAATCTCTTCCTTCAACCATCCCTACCATTGCACAAAGCACCCATGGGGAAAAAAATGACTCCAGTGGTAGAGACTGATGTTGTGCAGTCTCAACAACACGGATTTTCAATCATCAAGGCTGACCCGGCTCTGTCTGATCTTGAGTGCCAAATATGTCAGGAGCAGAGACCAACACTGACCTCATGATATGGCTGGGATGATAAGGCAGGTACTTGGTGGGAGTTTGACTGAATTGGACCACTTTCATCATGGAAAGAACAATGTGTTTCCTTGCTGGGTTAGATATTTATTCTGGTTATATATTTGGCTTTTTTTTTGTTTTGAACATAATGTTTCTATCAAAACTAACATTCATGGTCAGTGGTTGTCTTAATAAGAATATACCCTCAAAATAATATATTTTAGTGCCTTGTCAAGTAGGGATTGGAGCTTTTTGAAAAGATTAGAAGGATTAGGTAGTGTGATCTTTTTGGAGTATGTGTGGCCTTGTTGGGGGAATGAAGATTAATGTTCTCAGCTATTGTTCAGTGCCTGCCACCATGCTCCATATTCCCTTTCATGATGAAATTCATTGGTCTTAGTATGTTATTATTATTATTATTATTATTATTATTATTATTGTTATTATTATTATTATTATTTACCACACTAAAGCAACTGGCTTGATACATTGATACAGTGTTGGAATGACCCTTTCATTCCAACTGTAGTACCAATGAGTTGAGTTTTCCGGAAGGATGTATAAACTTTGATTCAGTGTCTAATACATGCTACTGTTTCTCTTATATCCTGGATTCAAGATGAGGGAACTTGAATGGTGCCAAGTGACCCAATAGAAAAAAATTGTTTTACATTCAATGTTTTACATGCAATGTTCCTGCTGTCCTAGAAGTTTTGGTTCTAGAGGAAGAAGTGAGTGTTTTTGCAAGGACTCATGGGAGTCACTAGATGGTAAGGCTTCAACCACATCATGGGGCTCCTGATATCCTAGAGGTCACAACTGCTGAGAAGTTATAGAGTTAGAACAGGTGACTGGTTCAGATAGACAGAGGAAAATCAAACTGTTTCTCCACAACGGAAGTAAGGAAGAGTATGTCTGGAATGTACATGATGCTTTAGTGCATTTTTCATTGTTAACTTGTCCTGGGATTGAAGTCACTGGAAACCTACAACAATCCAATTCAGACCACATCCCAGTGGTCAGAACATTCAGAAATAAGGGTATGAATAACCCCTCTAGGTTGCTGAGTTGTTTGCCTAAGGTGGAGAAAATACAGAATGGGTAGCAGAGAAAGGTGGTTACAAATACTAAGGCTGCACGGCAAGTCACAGAAATGAAGATTACAATTGCCACAGGAATTTACTTTTTTTTTTTTTAAGAATATGTTTATGTTTATCTTCCTCTCCTCATTTTTTTTTTTTTTTACTATATAATGTAACACTTATTGAGACAATATTAGGGGTTGGCTGTTGCAAATCTATATTATCATATTTAAGTTATGGGACACTAAAAGACTAAAGAAAAGCAGTGACTCTGCAGGAGTTTTTACAGTGCCTGGCTGGGACTGTTGAGGCATCCAGCCCTGAGAACTGAGCAGCTGTGAAGTCTTCCCAATGTGAAGACTATCATTGTTAGACTACCCTGACTGTATCATGGAAGGTAATTTAACAAATTCCCTTCAAATATACAGTCATGCTATTGGTTCTTTTCCTTTAGAAAACCCTGAATTATACATAAGGCTTCCTGTATGTACCGCTTTCCTAAATGATCAGCAACACTGAAACAACTTAGTACTGAAAAGGTGAAGATTTTTGTACTTTAGGGCCTGTTTCTATTCCTGCCATTCCAGGATTCATTCTCATTCACAAGAGCTGGGGGGAGCCGGCAGCCTTATTCCATCAAGATGTCTTTTTGGTTCTGACGTGTTGTGATAGATACTTAATCAGATCCTGTCATTACTTTGTCCCTGAACCCCCTCTGTGGAGGCAGCTACCTTGAACTAACTTCACTGGTCTCCTGACAGCATGTTGAGCTATAATCTAGGTTTAAAAAATTTACATCATTTTCATAGAATGATCAATTATTATTTATCAAACTACTTCCTTAACTTTGAGTGGATTTGAAAAAAAAAGGGGGGGTCTGTTCTTCCTCAT